AGAGGCTGAAAAATGTAATCTCTACAAATAATTTAGAGGACACCTGGAGATTACGATTCCCAACTACAAAAGGCTACTCCTTTATTTCTCAAAGTAAAAAAAGCTATTCAAGAATTCCAAAAATACCCTCAACAATTTACTGTGTTCAGAAATCCATGATGTAGTGATATCAGATCATTCACCTGTTACTTTTATTTCGTGTTTTTTTATATTGTATTTTTTTGTGATTTTTTGTTGTTGTATTCTTTCTTAAAACTGCATTGTTGGTTAAGGGCTTGTAAATAAGTATTTCACTGTAAGGTCTACACCTGTTGTATTTGGCGCATGTGACAAATAAAATTTGATTTGATTTTTGATTTGATCATGCTTAATTACACCAACAGAAAATACACTTGCCGACAGAATATGGAGAATAAACAGAGTGCATCTTAAAGACCCGAAATGTAGTAAATACGTAAATGAAAAAATAAAAACCTTTACCATTACAAATATAGACATAGAAGACAGAGAAAAGCTGACCCCCAATATAATTTGGGATGCTATTAAAACGTACATTAGGGGAATGACAATCTCATAGTCGGCAAAAAGTTAAATCTTAGTTAGAAATACAAATTAAAGAACAATAAATCACTATCTTAGAAAAAGCCCATAAAAAATCTTTACAAGGTAAAGAAGAAAATAAAAATGTTGAATTTAAGCAGAAATATGATATTTTACTTTTGAAGAGAGCCAACAACTACAGGTTAAACTCAAATAAAGCATGCTACTAAATGGCAAATAAAGCCCTCTCAGCCCTCACAAAACACGCCAATCCAGTTATAATTTTAAAAAGATACAAATGCGTTAATTAGAAACAACAACGAGATTAATAACATTTTAAAAAGCTTCTATTCAAAATGTAAATTAATCAGACTGATCCTGCAGCCTTCTTAGACTCAACAACCCTGAAGTAATTATCAGCAGAAAAAAAGGATCATTAAAATAAGAGAACAAAAATAAATATTAGACACTGTTAAAACATTCGCTCTGAGAAAAGGACCAGGAAATGGACGGCTTTGCCATAGAATTACATTTAACAGTTTGGAACAAGGTAGCGCCCCTATTTAGTCAAATGATCACTCAGTTCCATGTATCAAACAGTTATGTCAGGTATATTTAAACCAGGGAAATCTTGAGACTCCCCTGCTAATAACAGACCCATACATTTAATAAATTGTGCCAATAAAATAATACAGCTGATAAGCAATAGAATGGCAATAGTCTTACCAGACGTGATACATATTAATCAAACGGGGTTTATTAAAAATAGACACTTACAAACAAATACAAGAACATGTTTCAGTTTAATACAATACGCAAAAAAAAACAAGAAATAGATTTATCAATAATGGCTGTTGACACCAAAAGAGGCTTTCAACCGTCGTGAATGGCTTTTTCTGTTCAAAACCTTGGAAGCTTTGAACTTTTCCAGCTGAAATAATACATTTAATACAAAAAATTGTATAAATGTCCTAAAGCAAAAATATACACAAATAATACATTATCTGATTAAATTGCTTTAGAAAGGGGCACAAGACAGGGATGTCCTCTTGCCCCCCTCCTGTTTGCAATTGTACCGCTTGGAACAAATCCTTGGATAGCTTTTCAGAATTCACTGATAAATTGGTCCACATGGAAAACTAAAGACATAGAAACCATAAATGACTTATAAATATATTAATTTCCATGACAGAATTAAAAAGCAATTTTGGACTGATCAATGTAGATCTTTTCTTTAAAAAGTTTAATATCATACCATTTCAATTTGAACTCTTTTGGACATCAGAGCAATCTTGAGGGAATCTTATTTGAGTCAGAAAATGATATTCATATGATGGGTAAGATATACCAAACCTTTCAGAGAGCAGAGAGCCGATCCAACTGACAATCTCTTAGAAGAAAATATAAACTATTGGAACCAAGACTTAAAAATAACTGATATTGACACATGATGGAGGGAATGTTGAAACATAACTAACGAAATTACAGTTAACAAAAATGTACGCTTAATCCAGTATAAACTAATGTATATAATTTATTATACAAGAGACAAAATTCACAAATTCTACAGCAAAACAGCAGTGTCAGAGAAACAAAATGGTGCAGTTTGAGGCCATGTGGTGGAGAGTGATGCTGGCGCTGGAGAGTGATGCTGGCGCTGGAGAGTGATGCTGGCGCTGGAGATGGGGGTGTGAGCAGGTGGGTATTCAGCAGAATTTATTTTCCAGAAATAGTTTTACAAGCTCCGTTTATTCTCAAATTTAAAAAAATGAAGGGAAGAAAATACAAAAAAAAAAGACTGAATCATCTGTAGATAGACAGCTACGAAAAATATGGAAGAAAACTCTCTGGGTAAATAGTCTACAGCTTATCATTAGGTATTTTACACACACCACCACCCAGGATCTTACCGGACTCAGCCGTTCTGTTCTGCCGATGCATTGAAAAACCAGCTAGATGTACAGTGGGGGAAAAAAGTATTTAGTCAGCCACCAATTGTGCAAGTTCTCCCACTTAAAAAGATGAGAGAGGCCTGTAATTTTCATCATAGGTACACGTCAACTATGACAGACAAAATGAGAAAAAGAATTCCAGAAAATCACATTGTAGGATTTTTAATGAATTTATTTGCAAATTATGGTGGAAAATAAGTATTTGGTCAATAACAAAAGTTTCTCAATACTTTGTTATATACCCTTTGTTGGCAATGACACAGGTCAAACGTTTTCTGTAAGTCTTCACAAGGTTTTCACACACTGTTGCTGGTATTTTGGCCCATTCCTCCATGCAGATCTCCTCTAGAGCAGTGATGTTTTGGGGCTGTCACTGGGCAACACGGACCTCCAAAGATTTTCTATGGGGTTGAGATCTGGAGACTGGCTAGGCCACTCCAGGACCTTGAAATGCTTCTTACGAAGCCACTCCTTCGTTGCCCGGGCGGTGTGTTTGGGATCATTGTCATGCTGAAAGACCCAGCCACGTTTCATCTTCAATGCCCTCGCTGATGGAAGGAGGTTTTCACTCAAAATCTCATGATACATGGCCCCATTCATTCTTTCCTTTACACAGATCAGTCGTCCTGGTCCCTTTGCAGAAAAACAGCCCCAAAGCATGATGTTTCCACCCCCATGCTTCACAGTAGGTATGGTGTTATTTGGATGCAACTCAGCATTCTTTGTCCTCCAAACACGACGAGTTGAGTTTTTACCAAAAAGTTCTATTTTGGTTTCATCTGACCATATGACATTCTCCCAATCTCTGGATCATCCAAATGCACTCTAGCAAACTTCAGACGGGCCTGGACATGTACTGGCTTAAGCAGGGGGACACGTCTGGCACTGCAGGATTTGAGTCCCTGGCGGTGTAGTGTGTTACTGATGGTAGGCTTTGTTACTTTGGTCCCAGCTCTCTGCAGGTCATTCACTAGGTCCCCCCGTGTGGTTCTGGGATTTTTGCTCACCGTTCTTGTGATCATTTTGACCCCACGGGTGAGATCTTGCGTGGAGCCCCAGATCGAGGGAGATTATCAGTGGTCTTGTATGTCTTCCATTTCCTAATAATTGCTCCCACAGTTGATTTATTCAAACCAAGCTGCTTACCTATTGCAGATTCAGTCTTCCCAGCCTGGTGCAGGTCTACAATTTTGTTTCTGGTGTCCTTTGACAGCTCTGTGGTCTTGGCCATAGTGGAGTTTGGAGTGTGACTGTTTGAGGTTGTGGACAGGTGTCTTTTATACTGATAACAAGTTCAAACAGGTGCCATTAATACAGGTAACGAGTGGAGGACAGAGGAGCCTCTTAAAGAAGAAGTTACAGGTCTGTGAGTGACAGAAATCTTGCTTGTTTGTAGGTGACCAAATACTTATTTTCCACCGTAATTTGCTAATAAATTCATAAAAAATCCTACAATGTGATTTTCTGGATTTTTTTTCCTCATTTTGTCTGTCATAGTTGACGTGTACCTATGATGAAAATTACAGGCCTCTCTCATCTTTTTAAGTGGGAGAACTTGCACAATTGGTGGCTGACTAAATACTTTTTTCCCCACTGTATATTATCCATGTCCTTGTTCAGCCAAGTTTCAGAGAAACAGGATATTATAGTTCTTCAGGCTGATAGGATAGTCTCGAACAGAGCTCGTCCAGTTTGTTCTCCAGTGATTCTACATTCGCCAATAGAACAGTTTATTTACTCTCCTCCGTGGTTTTTATCAGGCACGTCGGCCTCTATATCACCGTCTCTTTCTCTCCCGAGGGTCGGGGTGAGCAGCTGACATTGAGAAAATTCAAAACAAATCGAGACCTGATCTCTTTCAAGGACAGTCTCGCAAAAAGAAGAATTCTTGCGTTCTAACTACACGCTATTCAAAGTGCTCTGAACAAATTAAGGAAATCGTTCACAAACATTGGCACGATCCGATGACCGTATCGGTAATGTGTTTTCGGACCCTCCCTTGTTCGATTTCTCGCGGGGCAGAAATCTCAAAGGAACAAAGGATCCAATTCAACATTTGATGTACAGTCACTTTCACTGTGGTTCGGAAGTGTGATAGAGTTCACAGCTGGCGATGCCTCATCATGATTGGTTATTCCCCATCATTTGCAATATTGTCAATGAGCGTCATCATCTTTCCTTTATGGTACCTCAAACTGTCTTGATTACCAGCTGAGAGAAACATTTATGAGCTGATTTCACTCCTGGTCCAGACTTTGTTTGGACAGTGTTTTAACATCATCCTAAAACCTACTCTGAGCTGGGAGTTTGTTTTGTCTTAAAACGAGTTTTAACACGGGACCTTTTCTGAGATGCTTTGAGAGTCTCAGAGTAAATAACATCAGTCAATGCCATGATGCTGAGATTGTTTACAATCACTGTGACTAAATAGTGAAGTACGGTGACAGTGAAACGCTATGGTGACGTTGGAACTGCTCTGATTGAGTTGACATCATCCCGAGGTCAGTAATGTCCTGTAGAGGTCAGACAGCTGTTTATTAATCGTCCAGACAGTGCTGCCATGTTGCCTGGGAACCAGTACACTCCCACTGGGCAAAACAATGTTTGAATCAACGTTGTTTCCACGTCATTTCAACAACAACAAAAAAATCTATGTGATGACGTTGAATAAATGTGGAAAACTGATTGGATTTTCAAAAAAGTGATCGAAAACTGTGAACACAAGGGCAAACTCTCTCTCTATCTCTCTCTCTCTCTCTCTCTCTCTCTCTCTCTCTCTCTCTCTCTCTCTCTCTCTCTCTCTCCTCTCTCTCTCTCTCTCTCTCTCTCTCTCTCTCTCTCTCTCCCCCTCTCTCTCCCCTCTCTCTCTCTCTCTCTCTCTCTCTGCTCTCTCTGTCTCTCTCCCCTCATTTTTGTTAGACCTCAGCCGTTGTCTTGTTTCTAAAGGCAACATGAAAGAGGAAGGGTGCAGATAAAGTTTGAGAATCAAAACCCCCTCATTGTGTTTTGAATCAAAACACCCCCTCATATAGTCCTTCTGGTCTAAAGTAGTGCACTAGATAGGGAATAGAGTGCCATTTGAGACAACATTTTTAAACACATCTTCCTGTCAACACAGTTAGTAGACAGTAGAGACACATGATTTTGTATGAGTCATATCCGCAATGTAAGTCCAAGAGATGTCACAATTCTTCAGCGAACAACTGGAAAATACTTGATAAATATACTGTATGTGATTCTTTAACCTGCGTAGAGCCAATCAGAACAGAACCGTTCTCTTTACAGAGCAGATTAGAATGACACAAGACAGTGAAACTTCTCTACATTTTGTCTTCTGTTGTCCTACGGCATCCCTCTTAACAGAAACTGTCGATGCCAAATGCTTTTCCCTTTGTAGTGCGTTACTTCTGACCAGGGCTCATGGGACCAGGGCCTAAAATGAACACCTGCCACCTTCCAAATGCATGTAGATCTTAGCATTGGCGAGTAAGAATGTCTAATTCAGCAGCCAGTGGTCAGGCTTCTACAGTGCAGAGCATTTCATAAAATAGTCAAGTCAAGTATGGCAACATGTACGAGTTGTGGTTTATAGCTAAATAAATGTTTTCAAAGTATTTCGGCCGTTTTGTTTCATATCTGATAATGCACAAAGAAATCTGAATCCTAACGTTATAGCTATCCCACCTCGCACAGCAACACTGCCTGTCTGGGGGGCAGTGCACACTGTGAGTGAGGGGCTGAAAGATGAGTTTTTAGACACAATGTGAACAGGCATAGAAGGGTCTAATTGACTTAAAACTCTACTAAAGTGAGACTTTGTCCTTGTGTTTCTTGGCTATTTACATAGTCTTCTTCACAAGCTAGGTTGCTTTTCAATGTTTACGTTTGCTTCCGCTGCTAGCGAAGAGACAGCTGGCCTCTACTAGTGAGAATCTCACAGGCACACTTGAGGACTATGCAGTCTGTTACCAAGGTAACCTTAAAGGGGCAGCTGAACGTTTTTGTCTCATCCGTGACCTTTTGGTTAAAAGACTCGGGTCACATAATATTACATTAAATTGAGAAAAATACCACATTACTTCTTACTAGTAATACATTTCTTGTTTTACAAACATTACTAAGCATGCTCATCTGTTTTTTGTGTTTTGTTTTTGTAATTATGGCGAAATAAATATTGACTGGTAAAAACATCTGAGTGGCTGGTAGATTTTAAAAATCTAACTGCCAATGTGGCTGGTATACAAAACAGTTAGTTTTAGGCCCTTTTATAGTAGTGCACATGCATACACACACACACACACATGACAACATACGCACTATACACACACATACACATGGATTTTGTGTTATAGATATGTGGTAGTGGAGTAGAGGCCTGAGGGCACACATTTAGTGTGTTGTGAAATCTGTTATGAATGTATTGTAATGTTTTTAAAATGTATAACTGCCTTAATTTTGCCGGACCCCAGGAAGAGTAGCTGCTGCCTTGGCAGGAACTAATGGGGATCCATAATAAACCCCAGGAAGAGTAGCTGCTGCCTTGGCAGGAACTAATGGGGATCCATAATAAACCCCAGGAAGAGTAGCTGCTGCCTTGGCAGGAACTAATGGGGATCCATAATAAACCCCAGGAAGAGTAGCTGCTGCCTTGGCAGGAACTAATGGGGATCCATAATAAACCCCAAGAAGAGTAGCTGCTGCCTTGGCAGGAACTAATGGGGATCCATAATAAACCCCAGGAAGAGTAGCCGCTGCCTTGGCAGGAACTAATGGGGATCCATAATAAACCCCAGGAAGAGTAGCCGCTGCCTTGGCAGGAACTAATGGGGATCCATAATAAACCCCAGGAAGAGTAGCCGCTGCCTTGGCAGGAACTAATGGGGATCCATAATAAACCCCAGGAAGAGTAGCCGCTGCCTTGGCAGGAACTAATGGGGATCCATAATAAACCCCAGGAAGAGTAGCCGCTGCCTTGGCAGGAACTAATGGGGATCCATAATAAACCCCAGGAAGAGTAGCCGCTGCCTTGGCAGGAACTAATGGGGATCCATAATAAACCCCAGGAAGAGTAGCCGCTGCCTTGGCAGGAACTAATGGGGATCCATAATAAACCCCAGGAAGAGTAGCCGCTGCCTTGGCAGGAACTAATGGGGATCCATAATAAACCCCAGGAAGAGTAGCCGCTGCCTTGGCAGGAACTAATGGGGATCCATAATAAACCCCAGGAAGAGTAGCCGCTGCCTTGGCAGGAACTAATGGGGATCCATAATAAACCCCAGGAAGAGTAGCCGCTGCCTTGGCAGGAACTAATGGGGATCTATAATAAACCCCAGGAAGAGTAGCCGCTGCCTTGGCAGGAACTAATGGGGATCCATAATAAACCCCAGGAAGAGTAGCCGCTGCCTTGGCAGGAACTAATGGGGATCCATAATAAACCCCAGGAAGAGTAGCCGCTGCCTTGGCAGGAACTAATGGGGATCCATAATAAACCCCAGGAAGAGTAGCCGCTGCCTTGGCAGGAACTAATGGGGATCCATAATAAACCCCAGGAAGAGTAGCCGCTGCCTTGGCAGGAACTAATGGGGATCCATAATAAACCCCAGGAAGAGTAGCCGCTGCCTTGGCAGGAACTAATGGGGATCCATAATAAACCCCAGGAAGAGTAGCCGCTGCCTTGGCAGGAACTAATGGGGATCCATAATAAACCCCAGGAAGAGTAGCCGCTGCCTTGGCAGGAACTAATGGGGATCCATAATAAACCCCAGGAAGAGTAGCCGCTGCCTTGGCAGGAACTAATGGGGATCCATAATAAACCCCAGGAAGAGTAGCCGCTGCCTTGGCAGGAACTAATGGGGATCCATAATAAACCCCAGGAAGAGTAGCTGCTGCCTTGGCAGGAACTAATGGGGATCCATAATAAATACAAACACAAAGGGAAGAAGGTGCCAACTGGTGGGGAGACCTTGAGTGTCTATATGAGCACAGGAAAATGGATGACCAGGGCCTCTTTCCTGCTGTCTGTCTGAGGGATGAACGTTTCTGAGACAGTAAACATTTACTGACCTAGTCAAAGGTCATTTGAACTGACCTCTAGACCATGACTGTCCTGACATTCACATGCCCTTGTCGTCCTGTGACATGAAAATATACCAACCATAACAAACCCTGCTCCTGCTAGCATTCCGTACTCTCTGGACAGCCCAAACCCTGCTCCTGCAGGCATTCCGTACTCTCTGGACAGCCCAAACCCTGCTCCTGCTAGCATTCCGTACTCTCTGGACAGCCCAAACCCTGCTCCTGCTAGCATTCTGTACTCTCTGGACAGCCCAAACCCTGCTCCTGCTAGCATTCCGTACTCTCTGGACAGCCCAAACCCTGCTCCTGCTAGCATTCTGTACTCTCTGGACAGCCCAAACCCTGCTCCTGCTAGCATTCCGTACTCTCTGGACAGCCCCAAACCCTGCTCCTGCTAGCATTCCGTACTCTCTGGACAGCCCAAACCCTGCTCCTGCTAGCATTCTGTACTCTCTGGACAGCCCAAACCCTGCTCCTGCTAGCATTCCGTACTCTTTGGACAGCCCAAACCCTGCTCCTGCTAGCATTCCGTACTCTCTGGACAGCCCAAACCCTGCTCCTGCTAGCATTCCGTACTCTCTGGACAGCCCAAACCCTGCTCCTGCTAGCATTCCGTACTCTCTGGACAGCCCAAACCCTGCTCCTGCTAGCATTCCGTACTCTCTGGACAGCCCAAACCCTGCTCCTGCTAGCATTCTGTACTCTCTGGACAGCCCAAACCCTGCTCCTGCTAGCATTCTGTACTCTCTGGACAGCCCAAACCCTGCTCCTGCTAGCATTCCGTACTCTCTGGACAGCCCAAACCCTGCTCCTGCTAGCATTCCGTACTCTCTGGACAGCCCAAACCCTGCTCCTGCTAGCATTCTGTACTCTCTGGACAGCCCAAACCCTGCTCCTGCTAGCATTCCGTACTCTCTGGACAGCCCAAACCCTGCTCCTGCTAGCATTCCGTACTCTCTGGACAGCCCAACGCACTCTGGGTTGTAGAGAGAACCTCCTGCTAATGTCCACCAACACAATCCCCTGGTCAGAATTCCCTTAACCATGCTCCTGGTCATGCCGCTGTAATGCATTTGGCCGGTTTCCCGGACACATATTAAGTCTAGTCCTGAAGAGCAGCTTAGACTGAGTCAGTACAGAACCCTGAAAGGTTCGACCACAATAGTACTGGAATCACACAGAGAGACATAAGAGCACAAAAAATATATGTTTGCTTTGGGAAACAAAATATTATTTTCATGTTCATAAAGCCATTCCCAAGGGCTCCAGTCCCGGGGGAGTTCAGTCGGTCAGTGGTGGGAAGCTCCAGTCCCGGGGGAGTTCAGTCGGTCAGTGGTGGGAAGCTCCAGTCCCGGGGGAGTTCAGTCGGTCAGTGGTGGGAAGCTCCAGTCCCGGGGGAGTTCAGTCGGTCAGTGGTGGGAAGCTCCAGTCCAGGGGGAGTTCAGTCGGTCAGTGGTGGGAAGCTCCAGTCCCGGGGGAGTTCAGTCGGTCAGTGGTGGGAAGCTCCAGTCCCGGGGGAGTTCAGTCGGGTCAGTGGTGGGGAAGCTCCAGTCCCGGGGGAGTTCAGTCGGTCAGTGGTGGGAAGCTCCAGTCCAGGGGGAGTTCAGTCGGTCAGTGGTGGGAAGCTCCCAGTCCCGGGGGAGTTCAGTCGGTCAGTGGTGGGAAGCTCCAGTCCAGGGGGAGTTCAGTCGGTCAGTGGTGGGAAGCTCCAGTCCCGGGGGAGTTCAGTCGGTCAGTGGTGGGAAGCTCCAGTCCAGGGGGAGTTCAGTCGGTCAGTGGTGGGAAGCTCCAGTCCCGGGGGAGTTCAGTCGGTCAGTGGTGGGAAGCTCCAGTCCAGGGGGGAGTTCAGTCGGTCAGTGGTGGGAAGCTCCAGTCCCGGGGGAGTTCAGTCGGTCAGTGGTGGAAGCTCCAGTCCACGGGGGGAGTTCAGTCGGTCAGTGGTGGGAAGCTCCAGTCCCGGGGGAGTTCAGTCGGTCAGTGGTGGGAAGCTCCAGTCCAGGGGGAGTTCAGTCGGTCAGTGGTGGGAAGCTCCAGTCCCGGGGGAGTTCAGTCGGTCAGTGGTGGGAAGCTCCAGTCCAGGGTTAAAGGTACTGTAGCCTGCGTCAGCTGAGTACGTAGCGTATAACGTAATGAACCAGGGAATGGATTGCACTCCTCCTCTCTCCCCTCCTCTTCTCTTCCCCCTCTGAGCTCAAAGCCCAGCACAGCCTACTGTCCTGTAACGTAGCTTCCTGCCCACAGACCCAGCCTCCAGCCTCCAGCCTCCAGCCTGACAAACGCCTCATTCTCAACCCAGATCATGTGACTCAGCGTTCAGCCACTGGCTCGGCTCTCCGTTATTTTCTTTCCGCTTAGAGCTTGACACCCCCATTCACTCACACCATTTCTTTCTCTCTTGTCCTTTTCTTTCTGCGCAATCGCTCTCTCTGCCTCCTGCTCTGTCAGGCGAGAGAGAGAGAGAGAGAGAGAGAGCTGTGTCTGTGTTGTCGTGCTTTAGACCAGGAAGAGAGAGAGAGAGAGAGAGAGAGAGAGAGAGAGAGGAAGGCTTGTGAGAGGAGGAACAGTCACTACAGCGCACCGAAGGAGAGGAAGAGGAGGAAGAAAGAAGAGGAGGAAAGGAGAGGCCCCCACTGTGCCTAGGTGATCCAAGGGGCAGCCAGTGAGAACCAGCCAGGCAGAGAGAAGGAGAGGAACAGCTACTACAGTGGAGAGGAGAGGAGAGGAGAGGAGAGGAGAGGAGAGGAGAGGAGAGGAGAGGAGAGGAGAGGAGAGGAGAGGAGAGGAGAGGAGGAGAGGAGAGGAGAGGAGAGGAGAGGAGAGGCCCTCACTCTGCTTGCTTTACTCCAACCAAGGAGAACCAGGAGATCCACGGAAAACCCTGGTAAAACCAGCTAGGTCAGACAGCCATGGAGGCCCAGGTGAGGGATCTATCCCTCCTGTCTCCCCCCACCCTGACCCCGGCCGTACCCCACTACGTGAAGTTAGGTCTCACTGTGGTCTACACTGTTTTCTACTCCCTGCTATTCCTCTTCATCTACCTACAGCTGTGGATGGTGCTGCGCTACAAACACAAGAGGTTGAGCTACCAGACGGTGTTTCTCTTCCTGTGTCTGCTGTGGGCTGCGCTGAGGGCCGTTCTCTTCTCCTTCTACTTCGGGAACTTTGTGACGGCCAACACCCTGGCACCCTTCCCCTTCTGGCTGCTCTACTGCAGTCCCGTCTGCCTTCAGTTCTTCACCCTCAGCCTCATGAACCTCTACTTCGTACAGGTGAGTGTCTGTGTTTGTTAGCACAGGTGAGATTAGCACAGCTGAGTGTCTGTGTTAGCACAGGTGAGATTAGCACAGCTGAGTGTCTGTGTTAGCACAGGTGAGATTAGCACAGCTGAGTGTCTGTGTTTGTTAGCACAGGTGAGATTAGCACAGCTGAGTGTCTGTGTTTGTTAGCACAGGTGAGATTAGCACAGCTGAGTGTCTGTGTTAGCACAGGTGAGATTAGCACAGCTGAGTGTCTGTGTTAGCACAGGTGAGATTAGCACAGCTGAGTGTCTGTGTTAGCACAGGTGAGATTAGCACAGCTGAGTTTAGCACAGTTGAGTCAGTCTCTGTGTGGATCCTGTCTCTGTGTGGATCCTGTCTCTGTGTGGATCCTGTCTCTGTGTGGATCCTGTCTCTGTGTGGATCCTGTCTCTGTGTGGATCCTGTCTCTGTGTTAGCACAGGTCAGTGTAGTCCATGTGAAATAGCTAGCTAGTTAACTATGGTGCGCTGGTAGCAAATCTATCGATATTGTGCAGTGACGTCACCTTTCCTAAGATCTAAAAGTCAACTGTGACTCAAGAATGGGTGGTGAGTGTTGTTGTGTGCCGACGGTCTCTGTTTCCGGGCCCAGCTCTGGGCCGACAGGCAAGGAAGCTACACCATACAAGTGGAGCAGATCCAAATGTATGAGACCAATCAAGTTGTAGGTTGTTGAGGCCAGAGAGGAAACCAGAGCTGTGTTCGAATATCCATACTAACAATAACTAATACTAACATACTGTATACTACACACTTAATGAGTATATACTACATGCTATATGCCATTAGCAGTGGCGACCCGTCATTCAGCCAGCGGAAAATACAGAGCGTAGGGGTTGGTAATGTTCTCTAGTTGCGCCGTGATTGGCTCAGCGTTCTGTCACTACGTCACCGCAGAATCTACAGGGAGAGCAAAGCAGTTCAAGCCCCTTTGGGTGCTGCCATAGAGTTACATTAGAAGTGTCCATCCAAGAAGACTCAAGGTCATTGGCCACAGATAAAATTACATCAAATCACGTTATATCTACCGTAGCTTTGATTGGACTGATAATGTCAACATCATACTTTCAAAATCTTAGCTAGCAAGCTAGCAGTCATCATCATGAATCACGTCGACAATCTATTGGCAAATCCTTTTCAGTTCTTGTCATATGAAGAGAAATAATGAAGAGAAATTATCGATAAAACGTATCGGTGCTCATCGGCCATTGGACATAAACATTACACAACAAGTTGTAAATCGCAAATTCAACAATGAGTGGTTTGGAAGGAATCAGTGGCTAACTGCAAGCATTGCAAAGCAATCACTAGCCTGCTATTCAATGGAGTGGATGTGTGGTTCAAGTCTGAGTTTAAGGGTCTCTTTTCCAAGCTTAAAAGGATAAACATTCATAATTGGCCATGCTGTCAATCCAGCATGACTTCTGCCGCGCTCAGAACAACTGGAAACTCTGAGCTGGGAAATCTGACTTCAGTGAGTTCAAGACAACTGGGAACTCTTTGCTGTCTTTGCTGGCATGTATTAATAATTTTTACAAATATGTCTTTGCCCCACCAAGATTTCCATGCTAAAATCGCCACTGACTATTAGTTAATTCTAGTCTACTGTAAATGAACGGTATTCTTTCAGCTTCGCCTGTCTACCGTAAGTTGATGCTGTTGCTATGCAACCTCTTGCTAGCTTGTTAGCATAACAAATTACTTCGGGTGTGTTCGTAAATTCAATCTGGAGTGCCAGAGTGCACTCTGGGCGTTCATAAATTCAGAGCGTTTCGCTCTCGGAGCTTTCAGAGCGCACACTGCACGCTCTGGCCGAGGAGTAGGGTTGATCCGAGCGTTCTGACCTCACAATGGCAGTCAAGCACCCAAGCTAACGTTGGCTAGCTTGCTAGCTACTTCCTGACACAAATGAGAGAACACCTCACTCTGACCACTTAACTCACCCTAGCAGAGCTGGTTAGGCTGTTTTCATGTTATCCAGAGCGTTGGTGACTAACTGTGCTGCTGGCAACAATTTAATTGCGCTTTTTTGCCAACATTTACTGACACCGGCTATATTCAACGGGTGTTGAGCGTTCGTAAATTCATCAGTTATTCTGTGCTCTGGTACGCTCAGACGAGAGTGCTCTGAGATCGGAGTAGATAGCCAGAGCGAGTTTACGAACGCTCCCGAATGTCCGTCGAGAACGCACAACTATATCCATACTATGACCAATAAGCATACTACATACCCAGTTTACGTCACAAATAGTACGGTTAGTGCGTTAGTATGCGTATTCGAACACAGCTCGTGTCTCTCAGAGGTCAGAGGTCAGGGGGTGAAGGCCACGATTTGGTTTCTCTCTGACCATTTGGCACAGCAGACAGACACAGACGCCGGAGCAGAGAGCTGCAACATAGTTTTGTCTAGTTTAGGATTTGTTCAAAGCATGGCCTCCTGTGAAACGCTCCATAAACTGAATTAGACTACAGAACATTTTACTAATCATCATTGTGCTCAGACTAGACATGTTTGGTGGGAGAGAAAGAGAGGTAGTTCAGACTAGTAACATGGACTGTGTCTTGCTCCTACAACAGAAGCATTCCTTGTATTAGTCAGTGGACCCAGTAGATGTCAGTCAGTGGACCCAGCAGATGTCAGTCAGTGGACCCAGCAGATGTCAGTCAGTGGACCCAGTAGATGTCAGTC